GGGGTGACATTGAGTGGGTAGTGCCTCGCGACCGCCGTGAAAAACGTCTCAATCCTGTCAGGGAAGTCTATCGATCGTTTAAACAGGTACTCACATAGATATCCATGAAAGTGGTGCTCTCTGACACCATACCTCGGCAGCGAGCCTTTGAGGCCTCTCCATCACCTCTCGATATTTTGTGTATGTGCACCGGTCACGTGATTCACAAAATTGACCGAGTGGTTGACCATGAAGTTGTTGAATCCCTCTTGACTCAGTCTACTGTATGATTTTCATTGATCAGATATGATGGTTGTTCCAGGCTTAATTCATCTTTTCATGACTCCCACAAGAGTTTCCGCGGTCCTGCCTTCTACAATGCTTACTGCATGAGCCTTACTGTCGCGCTCAAAAGCACCAAAGTTCAATCTCTCCTCCACCTCACGTCCACGGTTGTACTTTCGGTGGCCAACTTTGGTCTCATCGATTTCAACCATCTTGCCAGGGCCCCCCAGCATGACGAAATGATCTTCACACGAGTCAATTAGGATTTCCCTGACAAAATTGGACCCATCTACCACCGTGTGACTAGCCATCTCTAGCTCAAATTCCGGATATGCCTGCCTTGGTGGATGTAACATCAAGTACTAACCAATGAACCGTATACCTTTTTTTAGAGGGATATGGATGTGTTGAAACGATCCATTATATATGTCACGATCCATTATATAAGCTGATATATCTATCACACTTAACCCTCTTCTTCTTCTTGTGGGCGTCATAGAAAGTGATCCTCTTATAGCACCTGAACGCCATCCTCTGTTCACTGAAGCGCATTTGAGCACTGCACTTTGGGCACATCGCTTCACTGATCAACAAATTCCGGTCCTGCAAGAATTTAATAACGCGCGAGAGATCGCCACACTTTTCATCGATTTCGAAAAGACGCATGTTTACCGTTCGACAGACGCTTCACAACTAACCGTAAACATAAACACCCCAGTTTGCAAACCATTAATTCCATCAAATAATACACCGACTGGAATGTGAGGGCTATAAACACTCTCTCAAGTGTCACAGTCGAAACACCCGTCGATATAATCTATAATAAACCCGATAGTTATGCGAATATCAATTTATTTTTGCTGCATATCATTGTCCGACCCGTAATTCAACATATGAATTGAGAAATTTCTAAAAAAGTAATATTTAATGTGAGATATATTAAAAACTTGGTGAGGGAGTCCTTATGCATATTTACCTTTTTTTCATTTCGACGTGTCCACATGTTAACACTTTCGAACGAAGTACTTGATTGTCTTTCCACCTTGTCCGTATTAATTTCAACTCGGTGAAACCCAAAAGTGCGTTTCACTGGAGATGACGTTTAATTCAATTATTTTGATGGTCCTAAGAGTTTATCAAGAGCGAAATAGGATTGGAGCTATTATTTTAGTCAATGAGAAAAGTTGTAGACGCCAAAGAACAGTGATTTATTGAAGAATAAGAGAGTAAACTCCCGTTCACATCAACTAGTACTACAACAGAGTGGATTCTTAAGCCGCAAGTAGTCACACAACACTACAAGGGGATGAATTATTGTAATATCTCAATATTTTACAGAAATTGCGGTAATTAATAGGAACGATAAAACGGAAACGGCATTGATCCTATGCTCATTTTGCAAGCTAATGTCAAGTGGTAATGGACTAAACGGATGAAAAAATAATTTGAAAGTTTCGACCGTTCAAAGATAACTTTGTGCCTCGAGATGTCTTTTCATGCTGTTTCATCCCAAATAGGATGCTCACGATGTAATTAGTTAAAATATAACCTTTTCATATCATTCAAATGACCGAGCGTAGGGACATGGGACTGCCGACGTTTATGGATAATTATTTATTAAAAAATAGTAATTATCATGATTAACACGAGTGAATTATAATCCCGGAGTTTTTACTTTGTGATATCTAATTTAAAACATGCCATCTTTAACACATTTCAATAGAAATATTGGACCAATAATGTGTTCACCTTAGCCACAAGAGCGTAGGATCATTTACCTTAATTAGAATTGAAAAAACAAGTTGTTAGAAGATAGCAAAGTCAATCTTCGATATCTCCGCAAATTATTGAGTTAGAGAGCTCCGATTACGCTAATTTGTCCTTTTTTGGACGATACTTTGCGACAAAAGATAGAAAAAACTTTTTAAAATGTTGAGTCATTGTTTTTTACTCAGAAGTGGCGTATTTGCTCATATAGTGCACTCGATATGAGTTTATGACTTCGAAGGTTCACCATGTAGCAAGGCGCGAATAGCATTTCTCAGTAAAATTGCTGGAGTGAATGACGTGTCATTTAATGACTCGTTTGTCATTGGACTCGTGTATTTACCACATAAGAACCACTCGTTTATGGCGGCTTTCTCGTAGATAAAACCATCTGCAATTCAATTTCAATTATTTTCATCACGAACAATTCATTGAAACGTAGAATGTCAAACATGAAAATGAATAGATTTTTTTTTGTTTTTCACCTGAACACTGGACCGGTTCACGCATGATCTCATGAGTGATAGGACACAAGAATTCATGTGGCAGATCGATATCTTCAAGATTTTCCCATCGATGTGAATCTTCTCGTTTTAACCAATATAACTGTCTTTTGAACTCCTCCAAAATCTAGAAATTTGTTATGCATTTCTAATGAAATTTGCAGTGCTTGTTTGAGGTCAATTGTTTGAGGCTTTTTATCAATTAGGAGAACTGGTGAACAATAATTGTGTTCAGCCTTGTTATTGATAAATTATCGATGAAATTTCGAGAAATGTTGGAGAAGTAATCGATAAAATCTCATATAATGACACACTCATCATTTTTACAATTATTCCACCAATATCCCTCGTCTTTCCACCTAAGAAGCTGAATAATTTTTCAGGAAGACAGATGACGTAATCTTCATCAAAACATTGATCGTAACGCCAAATATTGATGATGAAAATTTTGTAAGAGAATTTCGTTATCTGTTTTAAATTCCGAGATAGCAGAAAAAGGAAAATTGGAGTTAAATTGATTCGTGTCAAATAACTATTTCAATACTACATTAGAAATTCAGAAATGACTATGCATTTTACCTGTTGGTCGGCATAAGCATGCAGCCTCTCAAAAATAATTTCTTCAGTTACGGTCAACAAATGGCGTCCATTAAGGTGTATAAGACTTGCCCGACTTTCAAGTACTGCCATATTTATTTCACTAAGCCATCTCAATACATCTTCAGTTTTCCAGTCAATAACTTTTTTCCTATTATTTCTTAATCGCTCGATCAAGTTACTTTGCGATATCAATTGATGTGGAAGTTGCCAGACTGTCACTGTCTTATCTAAGGCACCTTTTCATAGATGATGAACAGAAAAATAATTGTATAGATAATACCATAGCAAAATCGAGTAATGATAATTGTATGAGATAATGTCCTCGAACCTGTAGCAAAGAACGAAGTGTCGTTAGAAAATGCACAAGATGTAACGAGACTGTCATGGTTCTCCAGGACATGAAGACAAACCCCTGAATTCTGAATGACATATAAAATGGTAAGAAAGGTTCTCAATACAATAATTCAGTGGGAAAACGAGATGTCGATTTTTAGGATATTGTGAAGTTTGCTCCCAAATGGATGTTTTGTAATCGACGAGTTCAACGTTTCTACAATTTTGGGTGGATTTCGAAAGGACGGAATCGGATAAGTAGTTTCAAACTTTCTGTGAGGAATTGTTTTGTTTAATTTCTCCAAAATTGCTAACCATATGTTAATTTTTTCGAAATACTCATCTCGATTACTTCTATCCAGCTCTGTCGAATTAGTATATTGTGTTACTAGGGCGTAAAGTTCCACTTTTCCACACGCACGAGTAATATATCCTATTTTTTGTGGTACTTGCCGAGTTGTCACTCTTCGGAATGGTAGTGGGGGTAATGTGGTTTTTTTGTGCACGAGTGCGTAGAGGTCAAGAGCGTGCGTAAAGTAAACTTTACGCTCACTGTGCGGAAAATAACCGCTTTACGCACACTAAACCGTTTTGAAAAGTGCACTTTTGAGGCAGATATCACAAAAATATGTATACCCTCTTCATACAAAACTTTTAAAATTAATACCGTCCTTTTTTCCCTGAAACAGACGAGGATGCTTCATGATATGAGTAACGGTGGGAGTTTTAAAATCATAAGTATTGGTTATTAGTAAGCATTGTGCAGCTCTATTTTATACGATATTTCAAATTAATTCATCCAATATTTCGGCAGGTAGAACACTTAATCCTAAAATCTTTTTTTCCAAAATGTATCATAGTATGAACATATGTTCGATTACATTATTATTTTATTCCAATATAGGTTCGTGTTAAAAGTTATCATAGGCTAAAGAAATCTGATTCCAAACGGGAAACTATACAGGGTGTCCCATTTAAAATTGTACGGCCAAATAACTCTTGAAAGAGGGCAGTAATGAAAAAACTTACAAATGAAAGTGAATGGATTGGAAGGGTGGCACTGACACAAAGTACGTTTCGAGTCTAAATATTTATGCTTTTATTCTGCAAGGTGTAATGGACGTGAGCGGTTGGGTTCGAGGAAGGGATTTTATCACACGCGGATAAATATTAGAAATAAGTATCGTTATTGAGAATTGATTTCAAAAGATTATTTTACCATTTATCAAATAAATAACAACTCGGTCTCATACTGAAGGTATCCGACGAGTAGAAAGTAAAAGAAGGTAATTAAAGTATCGTCCAATAACTGGCCAAGAGGCAACGAAGTCACGAGTTTTTATTCCCTCGTGGATTCGATTGTATCAGATCATTGTCTTCGTCACACACCTGCGAGGCATCGAGTGATATCTTTCGACGCGTGCGAAGGTCAGTCGTCGAGGTGCAATGTGCTGACGCTGCACACCAGTTATCCACATTCGTCGAATATACGTCGTTTATCAAACACGAGCATTCGACATTATTTTATCTTTCATCATTCCCTGTTTTGTTTCGAATAATATGTGCCACTTTCGTGTCCTCATACTATCCGGATCAACAGAGGAATTTCTTAATGTCATTTTGGAGCATAAAATGCCTCCCCGCCAGGGAAAAAAATTACCACCCTTAGAAATTTTCCCTTCCAAACCTCGCCCATTGATACAATATATAATTAACATTTTTTACAATTAACAATCCATATTTACAAAATAGATTGATTCTTATCGTATTCAGAAATTCGCTACTTCTTTCCTGGGTGCTGGCCGTGGTTTCCGATACCAGCAGTAAACAGTCAGACCTAAGATGATTGCTAGAATCACCATCACTCCGATGAATATCGGTGAACGGTGTGTAAGAAATTCTCGATAGTCGAATTTCTTTTGTATTCTTTCTTGAATCTTCTTCTCAGCATCCAGTTGCACGTGGAGCCCTTCGAGCTCCTTCATATTCCCGAACAACATTGGCCAGCTGAACGTCACTCAGGTTGAATTCCCGTTGTTCCAGTTATGGACGGTGACGTCATCCAATGTCAAGTTCAACTTGAGGTGTACATCAACACTGACTATCACTTCATCTGATTTTCGGTCTGTTATAGTGAAATTGGAGGCAACTATCTCACAGAAGTCCTTGACTCGCAAGATTCAAGAGAGCAAGAGAGAGAGAGAGAGAGAGAGAGAGAGAGAGAGAGAGAG